ACTTTGTTCACCGATGTCTTCTTTTTCAGATCAGGGTGCGCATTTACTACTGGCAACCCTACACTTGCATGTTGTGCTGCTCAATGGCAATATGTCAAGCTGTAATAAATAACGAGATGATAGGATGACATGGAAGAGAAGACCGAGTCATATTTACAGCTTTTTTTGGAGCACAAAAGTGTAAAAAATTTAAAATCTAAATTATCATCCAAAATATCTCTGTGTTCTGAAGATCAACAAAAGGCTAAGGGGATTGGAACAACATAAAGATAAATAATTAATAACAGATTTCTTATTTCTGGATGAACACCCTTTAGAGTAGAAAACAGGCCTGATATTCTGAACTGTTTTTCTTTTGACTCAGTCACTTCTGAAACCACAACCCAAAAACTGTGCATTTTCGTATATACAGTGCATTACATTTGCATTATATGTATAGTGCATTATATGTATATATACAATACATTACAGTTTTATCCTAAAATGTTGATTGGTAAATATACAGTTTATTTTGATTTATTATCATTGTTTTTTATTTGTATTTGCATTTGTATTATTTATATATTTTTTTACTATTACTGTATACTGCTAACTGTTTTTTATATTAATTTTAATATTAATGTTCTTTTTAATGTAACTTCATAAATGCTTTGGCAATACATTTGTAACATTTGTCGTGCCAATAAAGCAATTACTGAATTGAATTGAACTGAATTGAATTGAATTGAATTGAATTGAATTGAACTGAATAGAGAAAATCTGATGCTTTCTGCAGGTTTTACCAAATTAAATTTAAGAGTTTTTAAGACACGTTTAAGACTATTATGAATGAAATTTTAGACTCATAACTGGCTAAAGGTTAAGGAATTTTTTCAAATGGTGCAGATGGAAAAGATTTTATTTTCCCAATCAAAAATGATTCATTCATTCATTTTCTTGTCGGCTTAGTCCCTTTATTAATCCGAGGTCGCCACAATGGAATGAACCGCCAACTTATCCAGCAAATTTTTACACAATGGATGCCCTTCTAGCCGCAACCCATCTCTGGGACAATTTAGCCTACCCAATTCACCTGTACCGCATGTCTTTGGACTGTGGGAGAAACCGGAGCACCCAGAGGAAACCCACGCGAAGGCAGGGAGAACATGCAAACTCCACACAGAAACGCCAACTGAGCCGAGGTTCGAACAAGCGACCTTCTTGCTGTGAGGCGACAGCACTACCTACTGCGCCACTGCCTCGCCCCCTATCAATAATATAAATATAAAAATTTGATTTTCAGATTTAAGACTTTTAAGACCCAGCGGAAATCCTGTGATGCAATCTGTATTAAGTTTTAAATAAATATATATGCATGCAATGTATTGTTTTATGTATACTGCATATAATCTTTTCTATTTTCTATTATTATTGTTTTTATCATTTTCATTTTATATTGACGTTTTCACTGCTCTGTACATTTTGACAATACGTTCCCATGTATGTCATGCCAATAAAGTGAATTGAATTAAATTATATTTATTAAAATAATATTTTAGTTACAGAACATCTTTAGAAATACAAAAACAATACATTTAAATTCATGCAAAAATATTGCAAAAAAAAAAAAAAACATTTTAACAAAATCATATGTATTTTTTTGCTTCTCTTGATTTCTGCTATTTTTGAAAATCTTATTTAATAATTTCCCCAAACATATACATTTGGGCTGCTAATTTTTGAACCATTATTTTAAGTTAATTTGTTAGATAAGCTCCAGATTTGGCTTCAGGACTGACTAAACTAATGCATGTGCACAAATATAGCATGGTAAAGAATCTTATAGAAAATATTAATTTAAATGAGATATTTGTGGGGGTTTACTCATACATGCTGAATACTGTATATGCTGACTGTGATAAGCAAAATATCACTAATCCATGTAAACATTTTTATAAACCTGAATAATATTCTCAGACTTAGAAAACAAATGTGCATATGGGATTACTCCACCTAACACACTCCTTTTCCTGAGGTTTCCCAAACCACTGATATCACCACAGCACATCCAAAATCCCCCTTTTTTTTGAAAACTGACCACAAACAAAGTCAAGTCATTACACTTAAAATATACAGATTTAATATAAACGTGGCAACATTATGCTTCTGGTGGTTTATTTTTCCTTCAATTCAGGTGAAATAGTATCCAGTTGGTCCAAAGTGATATGAATCTATAGACTACAGAACATAAATCATTTTAGATGTTGCAAGCCAGCAGCTGACACTGGCCTCCTGGCTGCTAAAACAACCTCTAGACCACACATGAAAATCAAGGCACAAACCTGAAATCACATGTTGGACGGCCCCTGTAATCAGAGTAAATAAGCAGTACTTTAACAAACCCGGGCTTGATCTCTCGGTGATCATATTATGAAGGAATGACAGACCGGCTGCACCCTGGACTTCATCCGAAGGCAGATTTCATGCAAGAGCAACAACAGCTGAGATGAAAACTCTGCTTATGGCTTCAATTAGGGTTTGAAGGGTTTGGCCATTTGCGTGTTGCTGCACTCTGCCTCTCACTGGAGATTTCCTGGGAAAGTGTTGCTGGCAAAGCTGCTGGGTTTGACAAGAGTGGGGGTGGTTGAGTCAATGCGTGCGAAAAAGAGACAGACGGAGATGAAGAGAGAGAGATAGGCAAGACTAGACTAAGCATCGGGCCTGAAGGAAGTGACACAGTCCTAATCAGCCCTACCCAACTGAATCAACTACAAACTAGTTTCTCTGGAATACTGAGATATTGGGAAATGGGAGCGGTATTAAAGAAGCTCAAGGCTTGTGTCCAGAAGTTGTGTCCTCAAGCAATTCATAACACAGGTTGCACCAGAGGAATTGTAAATAGTAATGTATACTACAAATAAAGTCACATGACTAATAACTTACTCACCGTGTTAAGAAAGAATCTGTCACTAAATCCTTTGAGTTTATTTTGAGTCTCATTATGCAACTATGCAAGTATTAAGACTATTGTTATGAAACAGAGGAAATGCTCTTGAGGGTTTGAAGCAAAAATGCACTTGAAACTAGAACTTAAAGTTGAAGTCAGAATTATTAGCCCTCCTGTATTTTTCCTCAACTTCCTTTTTAAAGGAAAAAAATATTTTTCTTCAACACGTTTCACAACAATCATTTGATTAACTAATTTTTGATTTCTTTAATTGATTTCTTTTATCTTTGCCATGATAACAGTAAATAATATTTTAGTATTCAGCTTAAAGAGTAATTTAAAATTTTAACTAGGTTTATTAGTTAAGTTAGGGTAATTAGGCATATTATTGTTTAATAATGGTTTGTTCTGTAAACTACTGAACAAAAATATATAGCTTAGAGGAGCTAAAAACATTGACCTTAAAATGGTTAAAAAAAATGCTTTTATTCTAGCCGAAATAAAAAAACAAGACTTCCTCTAGAAGACAAAGAATTATCAGAAATACTGTGAAAATGTCCTTGCTCTGTTAAACATTCTGAAAAACTGAAAACATTCACATAATGGCTAATTTGAGAAATGTGATTACAACTGAACTTTTTGTTTCATACAGGCGCATCATTCGCGCAATTTGTGCCTTTCACGCTACAGGATGTCTATTCGCATCTTTGCTTTGACATAACATGTAAATGACTTTGCCTGATGCTTCTTCCACGTCTGGTGTGAACGCAGCATTAAAGGGATGTAAGTTTCATAAGTTTCAAACTACAGCTCGTTTTAATTTTGTAGTGCTGTATTTATACCACAGAAACTGGTAGTGCTTGCTTTGCTTTGGCTTTTTCGGGGTTAATTATTGTGATATCCTGATTGTAATGGAGAAATACTGGAAAATCTCTGTAGATTGATAGCATTTCATGCCGTTCAGTCTTATAATCTTAAAATGTAAGCAAAAATTACTCGTTTTTTGTCATCACTTTAGACATTCCGGTAGAGAATCATTCAAATTCTAGCTCTTAAGTTGTTGTGACCTGGCAAGGGTTTCTGCTGTTCTGACATCAGCTGCAGATATGAATGAGTGGCAGAATAAAGTAGTTCCTCGTGCAAAAGGGTTTTTGAGACACTGTGTTTGATTTTCTTTTTTATTTACACGATTATGCAGTCGAACTGTTCTATGAATGCAATATCACACTTGTAGCAGAGCAATATGGCTGTATATCAACACTGGTGGGGGACAATAAGGCATATCGCAGCCATATTGCATTGCTACTCGTGTGATTGACATATATATATATATATATATATATATATATATATATATATATATATATATATATATGAGCTTGTGTGTGTGTGTGTGTGTGTGTATGTGTAATGTGTTATTATTTTTTTAAATAAACATTTTATTTACCTGTTTTTTCCCTATATGACCCATGCCTATTTAAGTTCCGATTTCACTCGTGAATAAAATAAGCCTTTTAAAAAGTTGGATACAATAGAACATTTCACATCTCGCATCTTCATGTTTTGCTCTGCTTTTTGGTACCCTTTTATTGTGCCAAGTACACTTTGGAATGGGTACCAAAAAGTTGTATGGTGCGGTTTGCTTTTTTGGTACCTCTTGACACTGGAAATGGACATAAAAGCGTACCTTACCAAACCACTCAGTGGAAAAGGGTCATAAGATGACATTATTCTACTCACCCTTTAACCACTAAACATTACAACCAAGCTGGAAAGAAACATAAGGATTTGGAAAGAAAAGTGAAAGATTCTTAGCATAATTCAGTAGATCAGTAAGTATTTTTTGTAAAAATAAGTCAGGAGAGCAGAGCAAAGCTGTGCAGGATGCCATATTTTTTTAAATCAAGATAAAAAGACCACAGTGGACTGAAAAAAGCTCTTTCATATATATTCGTAAATTATAAAATGTTAAAATATTCTCCTAAGATCCAGAACCTGATCATTTCTCAGTGAGAATGATATATAAACCTATAGTAAGTTTTCTTCTATGCACAAAAAAATGTAGTTATCATACCTTTTTCCTGTGTTGGAGGAGGAGGAGAGGGTGACCATGGTTTATCATCAAACTGAACCCATGGATTTGTCTGCTCTGACTTCTGGTCAGTCACACATGATTCTTCTACCCAGGTAGAGGAGTCCAGGACAGGCTGGTCTAGAGAGGACTGGAGGTGGTCCTCATCTTCAAACCAAAAGAAACCCAGTTAGAGAAATACTGCCTCTTGTCAGTAGAAAGGTCACAGCTAAATGTTAAATCTAGCAGGGTGCAAAAACTGTGGACCGTTCCCTCAGTAATCACCATGGAGCAATGACCTCAGGACACAGGAATCTCACAGAAAGGTCTGAACGCAAACTCAGACAGAATAAAACCAACTGATATCCAATCCGCAGAAAGGTTACATGTCGTTATAATTCCTTACAAATGGTGCACATAAAACTACCTGCAACTATTTTTTTTTATTTCGGCACAAGAACTTTATCCAGGGTCTTTTCTTTGGCATCTAAACATGAATCTGAACACAACATCCAATATGGTTTCTCAAAGTCACAAAAATAAAGTTTAATTTATGTTTGTTCTCTGGGAACTGAACCCATTAAATTTCCTGGAAGTCTGGGTGTTTGTACAGACCTGCCTGTGACTCCTCATCTGAAAAAGCAACCCAGCCTGGTCTTGGAGTTCCAGTAGCAGCCATTAGGTTTTGTCCTGTACGGTTTCTTTAGCCGCTTTTAACTTTGTTTCACTCCCCCCAGGTCTTGGGCTCCATGTTTACCTGGAAGAGGTTACAAGAGAATTTTATTAGGAATTGGGTATGTTTCAATATTAAGGTACTTTAGGAAGTGTTTTTATTTTTTGCTAAATAAAAACACCAAGAAGCATTTGACCAAACGATGGCAAGAACATTGAAAATGTTGTAATCAATTAGTAAATAGAGTGAAGTAACCTAGTTACAATGATCAAGGCACTGTGTTTGTACTTATAAATTACATAAGGAGAGGTTAGATTAATTAAACCAAATAATTTGTATTGAGATAACCTTTTAAAAGTAAGTTGTTTAATGTTTTAAAATGTCTTATCAAGACTGCATCACTTATTTGATCAAAAAAATAAAAATAAAGGAAATTGTGCAAATATACTAATAAATTTCTATAACTGCATTAATTATTAATTTTTTTTTAACTTACAGCACAAAAACCATACAAAGTATCATATTGAATATAACTCCCATTAACAATCTATTGAAAAAAAAATTTTTAATTAATCAACCATGACATTTTGGCTATTAAAATCAGAGATTACAATAAAAATAATATTAAACCTATGCAAAATATGATAAAAACAGACATGGTTTTATTTTTAAAAACATTTTAAAATCACCACAGACTTCGAAGCCCTATTTGTTTACACCATTATACACAATTTACTACTTACTTGTCACATATTTCTTTTACGTACATCTTTTACCAAGTCAGTATAGATGTTTATGATTTTTACACTAAATATTTATATGATGCATTATTCTATTAAATACTGTTAGATGAGCATCAGTGTTACTAATTTTAAGCTCAGGAATCAGTAGTTTTAAGTTTCTTCCTATAATCATCTTAAGAGATAATAACAGAATTAAGTGCTACAATGGACCCTTTTCACAAGACCCTTATGTCGTGTTTAACATCATAATCTTAAATCCTTGAAAGTTTTTAATATATTAATTATTTTTTAATTTTTATTATTTTTTTAACGTATATAGATTTTAGACATGAGCCGGTATAAGATTCTGACGATATGATAACCTTGAATAAAAACGTCACGGTTTCACGGTATCACGTTTATTGTGATCACTGCTCTAAAATATATATATTTTTAAATGTCTGGGTAAAAAACAAAAACTTTTTCCCCCTTGAAAACAATATGTTCTTTTTTTAAAACATTTAGGATATTTTGGAGCAGTAAACGCATCAGGCCATATAATTCAAATATATCCTTGACTTCTGCTGTCTTTATTTGTTTCAAACACACAGATTACTGTACAATTTGAAACGGCATCTTTCAATATATTTTCTGCTGGAGATACTGTTGCCCTAATTTTTTATTTTTTTTTTTAATGTAAATGAAAAATCTTACACATACCTTAGGAACAGGATTACAGAAAATTTTGCCAGTTTTAAAACCTTGACTTTGCCAAACCGCAATATACCTTGAAAACGGTTGTCTTTCCATGCCTAATACATTTACAAGCATTTATGAGAGTAATATATCATCTTTACGTCTAATTACAAAAAATGAATCACCGCTTACGTGAGGTGTTTCTAATGCAGTGTCTATGGGGTTGAGAGTAATCATCAGTCTCACACATTTGTTTTCCTTTTTTGAAAGTCTTGATAACACCATCGTGGAGTTTTTATTTTATTATTTCAGCAAATAGAATTGTAAAAAATAAATAAAAAATAGTTTTACTCTCCCATTCACTGCACTACAAGTTTACCCAACTATGTTGACTTCCACTACTGAGAAATCCGGAAATGTGAAGAGGTTCTGTAGTTTCAATTACACCTTAAAGTCACCATGAAGTTTTTTTTTTTTTTTGCTATCTTGACATCTTGACTTGGATAAACAGGATGAGTTATGTTGACTACTGTCAAGAGATGCACCGATACCATTTATTTTTATTTTTTTTTGGAACTGATCCGATCCTGATACCAAAATTCTGAGTATCAGATCCAATCCAGATACCGTGCCTTTTTTTTAGCATAATAAGTTCTTGTCATTATTTGAGCATTTGTTAAGACATTGATCTGTTGTGGTCCAGCTTATGTTTCCTTTTTTTAATATTAAGATTTTTCTTTGAAATCTGTAATAGGCACTATTGTCCAAAATCAAAACACAAACCGCTCTGTTAAATAAAAGATTGATATAAATAAAATTACAGTGAAATATTTACAGTTTTACCCAGAGATGGGTTGCAGCTGGAAGGGCATCTGCTGCGTAAAAATGTGCTAGATAGATTGGTGGTTTATTCCGCTGTAGCAACCCGGGATTAATAAAGGGACTACGCCGAAAAGAAAATGAATGAATTCACAGTTTCAGAGTGGCCTATATTAGGCTAAATAACTTTCTGTTAATGGCAATCCATATCGCGCCCGTCAGTTTCACTATTATTATTTTAATAAACTACTTTGCCCACAATGAGCCAGGCTTTACACTTTATATTAACAGAAACAAAGAGTCTTGGAGAAAGTTTTTCGTATTGTCATGAACGCAACACGCAGATTGATTGTGAATGAACGGAGAATGATTGACAGACGCAGTGGCAGGAAGCACTAAAGAGAACATGAATTTAACCACTTAATTCTTTGTGCTTCACATTAAACTTTAGAATGGCTTCAGAACATATGGCTTGGCGATGTAGCAGGCCTACATGATAACTTTCTAATGCCTTATAATAGGCTACCTTCATGGCTTTTGTTGGCTTATAAATTACACAGAATATAGCGCCAGGCAGATCGGCACCAGCTAACTGATCCTGCAAAAATATGCAGTATCAAACCGATATCCGATCCAAGTATCGGGATCGGTGCATCCCTTGTTAACAATACAAAAAAAGCTTGCACATCTGAGGCCTTGATACCACAAATGTACAACGCTTAGTAAATGAATAAGAGACAGAGTAACTCTGTTTCAGCAGACTGTATCTAGTCCAGGCAAAATTAACTTCTCAATAAATGTAGTGACAGCAGTAAACACAGTAGACTTGTGTAAGTGTGTTTGACTGCCAAACAGAAAACAACATGCCCCGACAGGGCCCTTCAAAACAGGATGGAGGCTGTGTGAAGTCACAGGAAGAACTACTGATAAATGTCTGACAACTGAAAACCATTTATAAAAGCTACTACAGCTCCTTGTGTTACTCCGATCCAACAGCATACAAACAGAAGACAGAAAAGCAGTCTGTAGTAATAATCAAGTGTCAAGGATCACTGCATTTTAATGTATCATTAGTGTTCAAGGAGCTGGGTGACAAATGCACCACCTTAAAGTCACTGAAGGTCAGGAAAAGCATAGTCACAAAAGCTGAGAGACCATTGTGATCTGGATTTTTCCACACCAGAGAGGGCCTATTTTCTCTCCTAAATCAAGTCCCTGCAGGAAACACACTTTCAAGGAGGAAACACACTTGGATGTGCTGAACGATCTGGCAAATTGAGGCCAATTCCATAACATGTTTTTGTTCTGGTGAATCCCTCTTTGCATTCACAATGCGGCTGCACGCTACCCTTCCTCAGCCCCCTATTTCACAGCAAACAAAGCAAGCTCCTCCCTTAAACTAGTCAATTCATTTAACATCTCACGACACCCACTACTAAAAGTAAAGGTTTTGGTAGCTGTGAGCACTATAGCTTCAGACCATTCTTTCCAAATATGTAACTGCATTTTTTGAGTTGATAAAAATGTATTAAAGTTAGCAATGTTTACAATGCTATAAAAAAATATGGCTATCGATTACTAAAAATATAAAGCCACTGAACGTTTTGAGTTACTTTAAATAAACACAATTTCTTTTGTATTTTTACGCTATTATGCAAGTAAATATTACATTTAAACACTGTATACTTTGAAGAACAAACTGGTGTGATGTCTTTTTGAATAATACCAGGCCAAAACAAAGTTTGTTATGGAACTTTCAAGAAAATCCCAGTTCAACTTGTTCATGAAGCTATTCATAATTTCATTTCTCCCTGCAACAACTAAACATGCTCTTTGACTCCACCATCTTTAACATGGAAATCTTGATTTTGGTTTCTTTTTTGTGTCCAGTCAGATGTATTAAAGTAAAATTAAGCTCTGTAGAGCTGATATGTGGTAGTAATTACATTTCATGTTTATTATACTGTTGTTTTTGTTTTCAAGAGTTCACACTTAGCTGATAATCAATAAAGCGTATTTGGCATGCTGTCCCGGGAGAGAGCCCTGAGCTCGTAATATCCTCGAGCCCGGGGCTCCCTCCCGTTAGAAGGGCGAGAGGGGAATTCGAGGTCAGGTAGGTCTCGAGAACTCCCCTGCTTGTCACCGTGAGAAGTGTAAACTCAGGTTGTATTGGGGGATAATTTGTTTTAGTCGATTGGCTATGGTTTATGTTTTTGGACGGTGGGAGGAAACCGGGGAACCCGGGGAAAACCCACGCGAACACGGGGAGAACATGCAAACTCCACACAGAAACACCAACCGGCCCGATGGGTTGGACTGGCGGTGTTCTTGCTGTGGGGCAACAGTGCTAGCCAATGGGCCACCGTGTCGCCCGATCAGAAAAAGTGGGAGGATGTAGGGGTGGAAATGGGGGGAGCTTCAAGACGAAGATAACTGGAGTGAAAAACTCAGGTTATTTATTATGCTTCCGTAATCATCTAATAGGGCTGATTACGGAACTAACAAGGAGCCAGCCGTGTTGCATATAAGCACGTGATCCTCTCGAAATTAGTTTATGAATAAACCACACAAAGAAGCCCTACTGAATAAGTGCTATATAACTAAACACGCCATGACTTGATCGATGCCGACTGCAGAGTCCTGTTGCACAAAATGAGCTAAACTCCAGGTAGCAAAGTAAATTTTGGGTTAATAAATCCAAAGAAAAGCTATGTGGTTAACATCAGGTTAAGTTGTTTCACAACACTTGATATAAACCTTCTCTGTCAACTCAGGATTAACTCAGAGTCAGCAATTAACTTGAGAGCGTGTGCAGATGAAAGTTTGACACGTGCAGAAAACACCTAA